CCTCTGCTCCGCTTTCACCATGCCTCCTCTGCCGCCCGTCCCTCCTTCTTCGCCCGCTCGTTGAATTCCATTTAGACATGTAAAAAGGGAAAAAAAAATCCCCTTTGCCCTTCCCCCCCGCCTCTCCTCTGACCTCCTCTCGCCCTCCATGGTCTTCAGCCCCTCCCACCCCCTCCTCCTCCGCCGCCCCTCCTCCCACCCTCTGATGATTGCTCACCCGTTCCCCCTTCCTCTGCTCCACTTCCCCCATGCCTCCTTTGCCGCCCATCCCCCCCGATTCGGCCGCCAGTTATTTCCAATTCAAACGCGTAAAAAAGGGGGAAAAAAATCCCCGCCCCTCCCCCTCTGCCCTCACTCCCCCCTCCGTACTCCACTCCTTCCTCTGCCCGTGCACCGCTCCTCTCCTCCGCCAGCACGCCTCCCCTCTCCTTCCCTCCCCTCCTCCTTCAGTGCCCCTCCGCCCCCTGCCCCCCCCTCCTGCGCTGCCCCTTCCCGCCCCCTCCGCTGCCCGTCCCCCACCCTCCTCTTCACTCCTACACCTTTGCCACCCCTTCTCCCAAATTTTGATACAAAAAAAAACGTGCCACTTTCCCCGCCCGTTGCCCCTCCTCCACTGCCCCTTCCCCCAGACTCCCATGATCTTCCGCCCATCCTCCCCCTCCCTGCTCCACTTGTCCCGCCCTTCCCCCCCCTCCCTCCCCTCCATGGCCCCTCCCTCCTCCACCACCCCTCTCCCCACCCTCTGATGATCTTCTGCATCAACCCCCCCACTCCTGCGCTCCCATCCCTCCACCTTCCCTCTGCCCAGCCACCTCTGCTGCCCTTGATTCCCAAACGTGATACATACGAAAGAAAAAAAAACACACGACTTCTCGCGCCCCTGCCCCCTCCTCTGCGGCCCTTCCTTCCCCCCCCACTCTCCACCTCTGCCGCCGCTTCTTTCTAAATGCGAACCGTAAAAATAAATAATAAGGACTCTGAGCTACTTACCCCGTAACTCACCCGCTCTTCCCTTGCCCCGCCCCTCCGCCGCCCCTCCCCCCA